ATATATATCTATACCTTTAATATAGTTTCTAATAGTTTTGACCCACGATGCCACTTGGATTGGGTCAGCATGAGTGAGAGTAACTTTACTGAGGCGAAGTTTACTCCTTTTAGACTGTGTAACATAATGTAGAGTAAAACTAGTGTACTCCTCTGGAAAATGCGAAATAAAAGAATTGTTAGGACTACAGCATAGAGATGTTTAATACATCATTCAAATAGCGTGTCATTCTCAACATACCTGGTCTTTCTTCTTGACAAATAATTTCGTTGGTAAAGGCAGATAGCTCGCTGGGATGTTCATATTCTACACCTACAACGTGCTTCAGGGGTAACTTGACTTTAACTGTAAGAGAAAAGGAATTTATTAAAAGATATGGCAGAAACAAGAAGAAAGCTAATGCGTTTTAACAGCCAATTGACATTTTGAAAATGACAATGATAATCAAGGAATAGGAAGAACAAAACATCACAAAGATTGGAGAAAGTGAGGGACCTAACCTTCCCTGTCAACGGTAAGGCATGTTTTCCTACGAGAGGGCAAGCACCTGACGGACGAAAACAAACATTTCCAGGGTGCTTGTGCACCCACGCATACAGAAAATAGATTCAAGGTCAGTTTCCCTGTACTTACTATAAGGAGCTGCTTCGGACTCCCAGATGAGAACTCCACGGTGAAAGTATACTCTGCATCGTTGCTTCTTCACGATGAATGAATTCAACAGCACTGGGTCACAGTCATTGCCGCTTGGCTCGCCCATGTCTATAAATTCATATCTACGCTCGCCTCATGGCAAATCACTTTCTTCCCTCACGACAAAAGAGCCACAAGAGCGGACGGCCGACTACTCGACTCAATCAACACAAGGATACTCACACACACACGCGCACGCACACACACGCACCCAGCTGTTTTCTGCTGTTTCCGCAGGTGTGTGGTGAGCGGCGGCGTTGGCCACTTCCGAAGGCAAACTGTGCCCTGATAGAATATTTAGCGCGAAACGGCGGAACGTGCGAAAAACCTAGTCAAGATCTTGGGCAGAGCTCCAGAACTGAATATGCTGTTCGAGTTCGCGGACTGGTGAGGCGACCAGGGAAAGACCGCAGCGGCAGCGCGCCAAAATCCAAACATCTCATACGCCTTGATAACGCGAAATGCACGAGTGATAAGACCGCGACGCCAGATAGGGCACGCGTCACCACCGACAAAGCGATAGCTGACTCAAATTACACGGGCTGCCGGCACCAATCCACGCCACGCATGAAGCACACATCGAACAGACTTGACCGTTAGCACGGTAGCAGCGATAGTGGAACTTGGCGACCCACGCCTCTAATCGCAAGGTTCTGATTCTAACACGCAGCCGGGCCGCCCGTTGTCACTAGGTCCACACTTGGGTTTCATTCATGTATT